CTTTTTTGCCGACTTCAACACTCATTAAGGATGATATCTCAGATAACCTATGCCCAATAAAGAATTCAAGAAAGTGAGGATCATTTTATCATGCAGGAAGAGCCTAGAATTTATTTAAAATTATGAAAAATTAAGAAACTTAGATGTTTTAACTGTTAATGATGAACTTCTTTTGGCTCTTTTCAAAAAGGATCCCAGCACACCAGGTACGCTACTGCAGTCGGAAATGCTCTTGTCTAGAAAACTTCCTGAGGATTTAAAATCCAGCTGAGGCAATTCTTTCAACTCCCAGATTCCACGAGTTCCACAGAACTCTCCCCATTTCAAACATAAGATTTTTGGATAAAATACAATAACATTAAAATATATATATGTGTATATATATTTATATATCTATATATATTTATATACACACACACTTAAATAATATACTTTATATAGATCATTTATAATATACTTATAATACATATTATAATACATTGCATATATAATATACTTACAGTATATAGAATATGTCATATAAAGAGTATATATAATATATTAAATATACACAACATAATAAATATATATTTTATATACTATATATAATGCATGTATATGTACAATCTTCACAAGAAAATATCCTAGGTTACCAGTAAACAAGGTAGAACTCAAATCTAGGGCAATATGTGTTTAAGATAATGTCAAAGAAGTCTGGTGGGGGAAGGTCACTGTACCCAGACGTAGGTCACAAGGGCTCAAGATTGGCATTTTAGCATCTATTCAAGGATGAAGGTCATGACTGAGGGCTCCTCACTGTGGTAGGGAACTGGAACCAAGACCCTGCCTAAAAGCAGAAGCCCAGGAGAGAAGAGAGCATTAGACATCCCACACCCTTGGCTTAAGGGAAGCTTGTGCTAGGGACACGTTGTGGTTAAGAAGGAGTTTCTGTTGAAAAACTAAAACCTCATGCAAGACCCATCTGGAGTAGTACAGGAGGTAGGGCACTGTTGCACGATGCCGGAGGCACATGAGTGGCCAAGGGTTGGAATCCTGGGTTGACCTGTGCACATCAAGCTCACCTTTGAGCCTTTCCATTAGCTGGCTGGAGGGCTAAGGGGAGGATTACAGTGTGATGACATCCTATTGACAGTCTCTCTCATTCTTTCTCTCTCAATAAATAAATTAGCTTAAAAAAATCTTTAAGATCTGAGTTTCTACTGCCCACATAGCGTAAGAATCTCAAGCCCAGAAACTAGTATAAAAATGAATCTTGAATGGGATAAAGTTCATTACCACCCTAGCAGAATAAACACAAACTCTCTTTTTGGAGACACTTTAATAATTCAAGGCATGGGGCCAGCAGGTGTCATGGTTGTTAAGGCACTAGACGCCCACATGGTCAACTGTAGTTTGAGTCCTGGACCTTACACCTTACTTTTTCACTTTCTCTTTCTCTCTCAGGTCAAATTTTTTTTAAAAAATCATACATAAATTAAATAAACAATTAAAAAATAACTCAAGGCACATGGGACATCTAAAGAAACAATGCATTTTGCTAAAGGTGTACTGGGATGGAGGAATGGAGGACAGGAAACTCCAGCATAACCATGCTCTACTGGGAGGTGTTCCTCCCTCTTCCTCTCTCTAGTGCGTGCATGTGGCCTTTGGCAGTTAAGGAAAAAAAAGAAAAGAAAAAATTACCAACGACATGAAAAAAATTATCCAATGAGGAAGAGTTGGGAGATAATAAATAGAATTAGCACCCCAAGAACGTGAGATAATGGAGAATAAAATAAGAAAAAAAAAAGCAAAGAGACAATAAAATAAGAAAACACAAAAAAATTTATTTTTCTTTCTGATTATCAGAGATATTTTTTCTCTGATTATCAAAGTCATCACAGGCATTGCAGAAAAATTGGTGTGTGTGTGTGTGTGTGTGTGTGTGTGTATTTATATATTAGGTCTTTGGTAAAGTCATACTGTATTTTTCTGTTTTTTTTTTTTCCTTTTTAAAAATATTATTTATTTACTATGATTATTTTTTATTCGGCCAGAAAGAGAGAGGGAAAGTGAGAAAGCAAGCCACCAGGTCTGAGACCTGCAGTCTTCAATGTGGAACTCCAGTGCCTTAACCCCAACACACCTGCCAGCTCTTTTTCCTATTCAAAAATGCCTCACAGGACCAGCAGTTAGCGTAATGGCTATGTCGCTGGACTCCCATGTAGTCAACCGTGGTTCAAGTCCTGGACCTGGTGGCTTAAAAGTCACACTGGGCGCATGTGCGTGAGTGCCCAAGATCCCGAAAGGAGAATGGAGGAGAAGGGACTGCGGTGTGGTCATCCCTCCTGGGGGGTGATTTCTCGCTTTCTGTCTCTCTGTCTGTCTCTGTCTGTCTGGCGAGTGCATGCACCCTATAGCGAAAAAACCTCTCAAAAAAAAGAAAAGAAAAACAAAAACAAAAATGCATCACGACTTTCCCGACTTTATATATATATATATATATATATAAACGTGGGAAAGGGAATACATCAGAAAATTCAGCTACCTTCTCTGTTTAGTTTATAGGATCTAAACTAGCCAGATAAAATTCCTAATAGAACTTCTGGTCACTTAAAAAAAAATTGTGTGCAGCTGGTGTGAAGTGTATTCGTGTTGGGTAAATTCACTTTACAAGCTGTAGTGATGTATAGTGATTCAATGTATAAAATAAATAAAAATTTTAAAAATGTACAAAGCAAGATTACTGATTATGTGCAAGTGTTACTTTATTTCATTTGTACTTTATTTCATTTGATCTTTAGACTATGTCTGCACTAAACCAGTAAAATGAATCAAATTTCCACCTTCCCAGATTTTCTTCTTGTAATTCTGGATGTGATGGCAACTTTCGTAGCTATGATGGAAAACTATTTTGACTGGGCCAGCTCCATGGCCTGGTGGTTGGAGATGTCTGGATCTCATATGGCCAACCATGTGGTGACTTGAAAAACATGCCAGGTACATGTATGCATGTGTCCCAAATTCCATGGAGGAGAAAAGATTGTAGTGTAACCATGCCCCACTGGGGGATGTTTTCTCCCTACTCTCCTCTTTGTCTCTGGTGAGTGCACATGCATTCTGGCAAATTAAAAACAAACAAAACCTATTTTGGCTTATCAAAATATGTCATCAACAGGGCCAGCAAGTGGAGGGGAGTTAAGTCACTGGACTCCCACATAGCCAACTACGTTTTTTTGGGGGGGAGAGGTTTTCGCTACAGGGCGCATGCGCTTGCCAGACAGACAGAGAGAGACATAGAGACAGAAAGCGAGAAATCATCCCCCAGGGGGGATGGTCACGCCGCAATCCCTTCTCCTCCATTCTCCTCTCAGTATCTTCGGCACGCACGCACACGTGCCGGCATGACTTTTAAGCCACCAGGTCCAGGAGGCGAACTGCGGTAGACTACGTGGGAGTCCAGCGACATAGCCATTATGCTAACTGCTGGTTTCCCCAACTATGTTTTGAGTCTGGACCTGGTGCCTTGAAAATCACACCGAGCACATGTGTGTGCACACCCCAAATTCCAGGAGAATAGAGGAAAAGGGATTTCAGTGTGGCCATGCACCCTGAGAAGTGATTTCTTACTTTCCCTCTCTCTGCCTCTTGATGCTACAATCCTCCAGCCTCCAGTAGTTTTTGCAATAGGGCGAGCACCACCATCCCAACCCCACCCTGACTCCGTCTCTTTCTCTCCCTGGCAAACGCATGTGTCCTTCGGCAAAAACCTAAAATAATAATATAATCAATGAAAACATACACCTGTCAGGCTATATTTACAAACTCTGTTTTTTGGGTTTTTTTTTTGGAGAGAGATTTTTGCTATAGGGCACATGCACTCAATGGAGAGACAGAAAGCAAGAATCATCCTCTGCGGGGATGGCCACACCACAATCCCTTCTCTTCCAATCTCCTTGGGATCTTGGGCACACACATGCACCCAGCATGAGTTTTATACTGCTGGGTCCAGGACTTGAACCACAGTCAACTATGTGGGAGTCCAGTGACATAACCGTTATGGCATCTGCTTGTCCCTATATTTACAAACTTTAGCTCTTCATTATATAGCCAACTGATAAAGCAGCACTAACCTTGTGATCAAATAACCCAAATTTACCCCATTAGCAACTGTGTACAGAAAATAAAAATATTTAAAAATGAAATTACACTGAACTGGGGGCCAGCAGGTTGCATGGTGGTTAAGGCACTGGACTACCGTATGGCCGACCATAGTTTGAATCCTGGACCTGGTGCCTTGCTTTCTCTCTCTCTCTCTCTCTCTCTCTCTCTCTCTCTCACATCTCTGGTGAGTACACATACCCTGTAGCAAACTTTAAAATAATAACACTAATAACAAATAAAATAAAATAATACTTTTTTAGAAATTACGCTGAACCTATTTCAAATATGCCAACACTAATTTCTTCCCTGCCTTGTGCATGTAGTCAGATATACTACTATACATGTCTGCTCAGTTCTGTAATGTCAGAGAAAATAATTTAAGAGTCATAACATTAAAACCTAGAACTGATAGAGCAGGGAGGAAACATCAAAACACAAGAGCTTCTGTTAAATTCTCTGCTTAAGTGCTCAGTTCTAGTGGGGAGATTCCCCGCAGGCTTGGGGGTTTGTGCCCTGAATAATCCTAGGGGGCGCCATTCACTGCAAACTCTGTTGGAAAACTCAACCATTTCAATCTGATAATGCAACAGGCAGGGATGACATCAGAAAGAAGAAATGACAAAGTCCATTGTAAGAAGAGATTTGTTTCTGAAGAAACAAAGAAAAATGACAATAGTGTATACAGTCCAGGAAAATGGAACGCTTTTTTGCAGGAGAATTTTCTTTTGCACAGTGCACCAAGCTGGACTTCAATGGAACCATGGCCAGATTTTTGAAACATTACTGTCAGTAAGTAATTTAAGAAAATAGCAATTGAAGACATTTACGAAAATAGAAATGACTGCCACTCAGAGCCTTAACCAGTCCTTAAATCATGTTCGGTGGTAAGGAAGAGGAAACTCCAGATGAGTAACAGGAAAAACTTTAAGCTGGTTTCCACTGCGCTAGAATAGGGCACTGCTCGCCTGTCATTTGAGCTTTTTCGAGTCATTGATCTAAACAGATAACTAAAAAATATAAAACACCAGGAGGATAGATTCTGACCCAATGTCAGCTGGGGCAAGCCCATAAAATGTTGGATTTGCTACAGTCATGACTGATGGATGCTTTTCTGGGCTGATTTCGTGAAGATGGAGCTTCTTCTGTGCTTCTTTAATCTCTCTTTCTGGGGCCAGCAGTCTGGAAGGTATGAGCAGTCAAATGGAGAGAGTGCTGTCTAGTTTTCTATACCCACCTCTGTGTCTAGTGTGCAGCCCACTGTGTTTGTGGGGTGTTTCTCCTACTTCACAACCTGCTTAATTGGATTTTCACAGTGCATGCGCTTTTCCTCAGAACCACTCTGAAGGAGCCATACCAGCTTTTCCTGCACAGTAGGTGGAGAGATTCTGAACTTAGGAGTCAGACATAATCAGGCTTTGAATCCCAGCTCTGAACTCTGAGCAAGTGGCCTATACCTTACTTTCATCATCTGAAAAATGGGGAAGACAATGAGTTCCTCATGGAGAAATAATTTAATTAACACACGAAGGCCACTTGATACAATGCCCAGTGTACAATAGTCTCAAAGTAAGTGTAACTAGTGTTGGGTAGTCGTTCGACCGGGGAGGCTGAGCTTGGAGCCAGCTTGTCTGAGTCTGAGTTTGTTGGCTCTGTTACTTAGCGCCTCCATTTCCTTGATTCAGAAATGGTAGTATTGAGAGTGCCTGCTTTGTGGGAGCCGTGAGAATGGATGAATTTAGACATGCATAGCTCTATGCACCTAGCACACTGTAAATTCTCAGTAAAAGTTTTAGCCATGAGGAGCACTACGATATGAATTAGCACATTATTTTACCTACCCCATAAAATTGTTGGAAGGTTTACATATGACATCCCATAAAAGAGCTTAGCAAAACTTCCAGCTCATACCAAGTACTCAAAAGTACTCAAAGCTGATACTATTTTGATGAATACCTTTACTATGATTATTAGTTTTTCACTATTCTGAATAATTCTGCAGTGTAAGACAGATTTCTGGATTTCTAACAGTAACGATTTAGTATTAGTAGTCAATTAGAGGCTATTATGAATTGATTAAAACAGCATTTTCTCATATAGCTGATAACAATTTTAATTGAGAAGGGTTAAGTGCTCACTTTGGCAGTACATATACTAAAATTGGAATGATACAGATATTAGCGTGGTCCCTGCACATGAAAGACATGTAAATTCATGAAGCATTTCCTATTTTGGAAGGCCAACCAGTGGGTGGTATGGTGGTTAAGGCTATTGGATCCCACATGGCTGACTGTGTGGTTCGAGTCTCAGACCCAGTGGCTTGAAAAAAAGCATCAGGTATGTGTGCACGTGTGTCCAAAATTCTGAAAGGAGGAAACGATGTTGGAGAAAAAATTGTGGCATGGCCATCCTCCTGGGGGTGCTTTCTCAATTTTCCTTTCTCTCTCTCTCTTTCTCTCTCTCTCTCTCTGTTTCCAGTGAGCACACATGCCCTACAAAAATTTTTTTTAAAGAAAAGGGCTACAATAACATAATCAAATAAAACACATTTATCATCATTTCCTTTTAGAAATGCCTCACTTTTACTGCTTTCCTAGACTTTGTAATATAGATTTTCTGAGTTTTCAACATTCTGTCATATGAGTTAGTTAAAAATATATTTATTTCCTTCGAAGTAATTTGAGTCAGTCCTCTGGTATTCAGCTAAATTGAACTCTGGTATTTTGGAACAGTATCTGTTGACACACAAATATATTTGGAATCACTGGGGAATTTAAAACTACATACAGACGGTGTCTTGATTCCCGCAAACTGACGATGACAATATTATTACAGATGACAAGCGTTGCCAACAAGTTTTAGATTGTCATCTTTTCTATACTGAACATATGGACATTACTTTCTAGTTAGCAATGACATTTACAAAGATTAAACTATCATTTCCCAAACACTTCTAACAAGGTTCATCAGGTTTGCTCAAGAAAAGAAGCATGAGATTCTGGTAAGATACACAACAAGACACGAGCCACTTGTTACTCACCTTCCATCTGATTTCGAGATGCCCGCATGGGGTGAAAAATCAGTGCCTTGCTTCACTTTGTCCCAAAGGCACATCTGATTCTCACTCGACCTGGAAGACATGGGTTTACACCTGAGATTCTGACTGGATTTTGCCTAGATATTTCTAGCTAGGAAATTCCATCATAGTCAAATTAAACTAAAAATCAGAGACTTCCGAAACTGGCTGGACTGGAAAGAACATACGTGGCTCCAGGTCTTCTACAACAACATTTTCTTTTTCTAAGTCAAGAAGTAACATGAGGAGGCCCTTCATGCTGAGTGACCAGACTTCATCGCCTTGCCTTGGTTTCAGGTTTTCCCAGGGCCTTTCAGAGGTCAAGAGAGGCCCTGGCTGCTTCTATATGAAATACAAACCAAAAGGAAAAACACATGCCAAAACAGGGTTACAAAATTACATTATATTTTAAATTAATAGAGTAAATTAATTGTTATATTTTAAATGTCAGTACCTAACAGTGAATTTTTGCAGTAACTGCTTTTCTTTTTTCAAAAAATTAATAATTTATTTTATTTTATTTATTATTTTTATTATTTTTAAATTTTTTCTATAGGGTACACATACCCACCAAAGAATGTGAGAGAAAGAGAGGAAAGCAAGAAAGCAAGAAGCCGGGTTCAGGACTTGAACCGTGCTTGGCCATGTGAGAGTCCAGTGCCTTCACTACCACACCACCTGCTGGCCCCAACAAGTGAATTTTAACACATATGTTTATCCACATTCAGTGTAGTATAATTACTTCATTCCCAAGGTGATTCTGAGGGTTTGACTGTGTCCCCCAAAAGTTTATGTGTGGGAATTTGGTTGTATAGTGAAGGTATTAAGAGGAAACATAATCTGACTATAAGATTAAGAAACAGAGCCTTGGGACGTGATTAGCGTGGGGACCCTATGATTGACTCCTGGTAGCTTTATAAGGACAGAGAGAAAGCAGAATAGCACATACACTCCTGTTACATAATGCCCTCTACCACGTTCTCCGCAAGCAGGAAGAACCTCACCAGATGTAGTCCCTTCACCTTGGATCTCCAAAACCATGATCTAAATAAAGCTCTGCTCTTTTTAAATGACCCAGACTTGGGCATTTCTGTTATTAGCAGCACAGTGGACTAAACAGTGATTAAAGGAGTGATTAGTGGATCTATTAAAAATGTTTACTGTTCATAGTTCATGGCAGATGAGGCCCAGAAATGAGACCCCGGGTTAAAGGCGGGTGAGGCTGTCTTCTTTCTTCAAACCTGTCAATATTTCTCTGTCTCTAGAGGTATAAGTAGGTAGCGAGGAGGTTCTTTGTGACAGGGAAGTCCTGGGCCAGTGGCCCACCTGTTGGTCTCCTTCTTAGCCCCAGGGCACGTGCATTTGGACAGTCCAGTATCTATGGATAGGAAATGCCACTCGTTCTTTATGCCAACTTTCTTCTGTGGCCGAACAAACAGATCAACCCAAGAGCCGGGGCCGATCTGGCACATTGACTAATGGCATTGGTTTGTTTGTTTGTTTGTTTTCAGTTCACGTGTCCTGAGTTTCATCCCTCATATCAATGAGTAACTGGCAAAGGCATCTTAGAGAAGGGCACGTATTGATAAAATCAGTAAGCCTTGGATGGGAGGGGAGTGGAGAATGTGGAGACTTTGAACTGAAGGAAGCGAAACTAAGTTGAGCCATGTGCTATAAAATGACATTGCAGTCAACAACAGACCACATAGACGACAGGGGTCCATAGGAGCATATAAGCTGTACCTGATAGTTTACGTGTATAGCCGGCTGTACCATCCGGGTTTGTGTATTTCACGCTGTGAGGCTCACACCACGCCCGAATTGCCTAAGGACACATTTCTCAGGACACATTCCAGTTCATAAGAGATGCATGGCTGTATATACACCCGAAAAGGAAGTGTTGACAAGGGCTCTTTCCATAAGAGAGAACCCCTCAGTGCCAAAAGAGAAGTCTGGAAACTAAGAAAGGCTCCTAAGAGGAGTGTGCTGGTCAAAGTTCAGTCTAACTCTGAGCGGTTATTTCCCACACAATCATTAGCTTTAGTTTGATAGCAGTTTCCTAACCAGACAGAGCTCTCATGACTTCATTCCCAAACCTGATTGAAGGAGACCATAGGCTTCACTGAAATTTTGCTTGCAGATACATCAGAGAAAACTCACATTTCTCATTATCCAGTGGGAAGCCAGGAATGAGGGACTTAGTGGTGGTGATGGGGGGGTGGGGCGCACAGTGAGCACTGGAATCTTGGCAGGTGGCAGTTGGTACCCATGAGCTAGAAAGGCTTGAGGACTGAAAGCCTAGGTATGAGACATGGAGAGAGGGAAGAGACAATGGGGACAGAAAGGAACGGCAGCCAACCAGCCTTAACATGGGAGAAGAGAGGTCCCACTGATGACCCTGCAGAAGGACTCACAGAGGTGTATGAGGCTGGTTTCCAATGACAGTTTATTAGCCAAGTCACTATGGTGCAGGCATTTGTGTGGCTGTGCAATCCTGGAACCACATGGGGAGGCTCTGGGTTCTAGGGCACATGTTGGGCTTACCTGTGGGTGCACCAGGGCTCTCAGCTGGGAGAATAAATCGAGGTGTGACAACACTCTGACAGTAGTCCCCACCTTTCTCTTTCTTTCTCATGAACAAACAAACAAATAGACAAACAGGAATGATGGCTTATCCATCATTTATTAGATTCAGAGGAAAATGGCCAAGTGTATTGGTGAAAATACAAAGAAGACTCGAGACTTGGGGTGTTTCAGAAGCCCCTCCTCCTACCTCTCACCCCAAACCTTTTCTTACATTTTTTGTAAAGAAATATTTATTAAATTTTATTTATTATTTCTTAATCTGACTTGAGAGATACATAGGGAGAGACAGAGAGGGAAAGTGAGAAAGCAAGCCACCAGGTCCAGGACTCAAACCACAGTCTGCCATATGGGAGTCCAGAGCGTCAACCACCATGCCACCCCTACTGGTTCTTCACCCTAAATCTTTAAGCTGCACTGCTAAATAATTTAATTAATAAGAGGTTATAAACTTTTGGGAAGCAACAGATGGCATTGTGGTTAAGGCACTGGACACAACCACATGGCCTACCAGGGTTTGCATCCCAAACTTGGTGGTTTGCTTTCTCACTTTATCTCTCTCTCTCTCTCTCTCTCTCTCTCTCTCTATGGTCAAATTAAAATAAATGAATGAATAAATAAAATTAAATAAATAAATAGTTCTTTAAAAAAAAAAAAGGGTGGTGGTTACAAGCTTTTGATAAAAACCTTGTCTGGGCCCCATGCAGAAGTCGAGGATCCTCTGTAAAATAGCTCAGGCCTAATGGCTCTCAAATAGTTTCCTCTTTCCCCTTAGAAATTTTCTGAGGGCATTTCCAAGTCCTGTGGTGTATGGAGGACGCTGTGGTACTCTTCTGCCTCCTCTGCCCCAGCTCTTCCCAGTTCTCCTTGGTCACCCTCCTGTGCATCTGGAATTGACTTTCCTCTAATGCAAGCTACTAAGCTCTGCTTTCAGGGTTGTTCCCCAAGCACCCACAGGGTTTGCACCCTCTCACTTCACTCAGCCTCCTTCTGTGCCCTGAATTAGTGTTCTCAGGCTGCTATGACAGAGTGCACAGACCCTGTAGTGTAAACAGAAGTACGTGTCCTCGCAGCCCAGAGACTGAATGTCCAAGATCAAGGTGCTGACGGGGTTGGTTTCTTCTGAGGGTCATGGGGAAAGAATCTGCTCCAGACTCCTTCCCTTAGCTTGTAGATAGCCACCTTCTCTGTGTGTCTTCACATCGTCTTTCCGTCATGAGTCTGTGTCCAAATTTCCTCTTCTTATAAGACACCACTTGTAGTAGATGAGGGAGGGTCCACCCCGATGATCTGATTTTAACTTGACTGCCTCCATAAAGACCTTATTTCCAAATACAGTCACATTCTGAATTCATGAGGGTTAGGACTTCAACCTATACATTTAGAAAGAGACAAACATAATTTAGCTCACAGTAGCCCTTTATTGGGAAGATTTTCTGACCATTCCTTATAACATAGTGTCCTTATTGACCAACACACATTTATTCATTCATTTTTTCTGAAAATGTCCCTCTACATAAATGTCAACTCAAGAGGGCCAAATTTTTTTTTTTTTGGAGAGGTTCTCGCGCTCGCCAGACAGACAGAGACATAGAGACAGAAAGCGAGAAATCACCCCCCAGGGGGGATGGTCACGCCGCAAGCCCTTCTCCATTCTCCTCTCGGGATCTTGGGCATGCATGCACATGTGCCCAGCGTGAGTTTTAAGCCACCGGGTCTGGGACGCGAACCGCGATTGACTACGTGGGAGTCCAGTGGCATAGCCATTACACTAACTGCTGGTTCCCAGGAGGGTCAAATTCTTTATTTTGTCCACTAATATACCTTCAGTGCCTGGAGATGAGCAGGCCTTTGATATATATTCACAAATGGATGAATGTCTATTATGAAGCCAGGACAAATTACTGAAAAAAACATTGACAGAGAAAGGTGTTCAAACTGTATTGTTAAATAAAGAAGGCAAATAACAAAAACCACATGGGTAGAATAGTTTCATTTTTAAGTCATAGACCATTTATTTATTTTATTTTTTCCTTTATTCATGACATGTGCATGTGCATGTACAAGTAAGGATGAGACAGAGAGAAAAAGAAAAATATGAGCACCCTCCAGGGCCTGGTCATGCTGCCATTTCCTTCCTTCAGCCCTCCAGCTCACTGGACTTGGGCACTTGTGCACATGCCCCGTGAGCCTTGGGCTGGCCAAAGTGGGGATTTGAACTGTAGTCTCCATGTGAGATCTGGCTTCTCTTGAGCAGCTCATTGCCACTGCATCATGGCGCTGGCTCTATATAATTTATTTTTATTAAAATAAAGCTTAGGAAAATGTGCAGCAAAATGCTAATTGTGAGGTGGCTCTTGAGGTTTTGATTTTTTTTTTTTTTTTTGGCCTGGGGTTGTGTGTCCTTGATGGAGAGAGACAGAGAGACAGAAAGAGAAAGAAAGAGATAAAGCAAGAAAACAATCCCCATGGGGCATGGTCATGCCACAATCCCTTCTCTTTCATTTCTCCTTCCTTTTGGAATTTGGGCACACACACACACACACACACACACACACACAAACACACACATCTGCCGTGCATGTTTTTCAAGCCACCAGGTCTGAGATTTGAACCACATGGTCAAGAATGGAGGAGAAGGGATGGCAGGGCAGTGTGGTCATCCCCCCGGGGGGTGACTTCTCACTTTCTGTCTCTCTCTGGTGAGCGCATGCACCCTAAAGCAAAAAGCTCTCAAGAAAGAAAGAAAGAAAGAAAGAAAGAAAGAAAGAAAGAAAGAAAGAAAGAAAGAAAGAAAGAATAGAAGAGAGGCCTGTAGGCGGCACAGTGGTTAAGGTGCTGGACTCCCACATAGTCAACCTTCATTGGGTTCCAGATCCAGTGGCTTAAAACATGTCCAAGTGCTTGTGCATGCCCAGAATCCTGAAAGGAGAATGGAGGAGAGGGGAACGCAGCATGGCCAATCCCCCCACAGGGGGTGATTTCTTGCTTTCTGTCTCTCTGGCAAACGCATGCACCCTATAGTAAAAATAGCTCTAAAAAAAATTAATACAAGATTTTTTTTTTCCAATTTTCTTCCATTCTTAGAGAGATTTTTGCTACAGGGCACATGTGCTTGCTGGGGAGACAGAGAAAACAGAGAGATAGAAAGCAAGAAATTATCTCCTGGTGGGATGGTCACACCGCACATACCTGGTATAAGTTTTAGGTCACCAGGACTGGCACTCAAACCATAGTCAACTACATGGAAGTCCAGTGACATAACCATTACACCATCTGCTGGTCCCAGAATACTTTGTCAGAATATTTACTTATCTATCATGTTAAGAAAGAAAAAAATACTACCCAGACACATTCTTCACAGATCTAGAAAAGACATTCATAAAGTTTGCCTGGAATCATAAAAGACCTCGTATTGCCAAAGCAATTCTGCAGAAGAAGAGTGGAGTGGGCAGCATCTCAATCCCTGACCCAAAAATATACTACAAAGCTGTGGTAATCAAAACAGCATGGTACTGGCACAGAGACAGACATGCGGACCAATGAAACAGAATAGAGTCCCCAGAAATAAATTCCCAAACATACAGTCAGCTGATTTTTGACAAGGAGTAACAGTCAATTCAGGGGGAAAAGGAAAACCTCTTCAACAAGTGGTGTTGGAAAAGCTGGATTTTCACTTGCAGAAAGATGAATCTGAACTCCTACCTCTCATCTTTGATAAAAATCAAGTCAAGGTGGATCAAAGATCTAAATCTAAGGCCTCAAACTTAAAACCTGTTTCTGGAAAACACTGGGGAAACTCTGGGAGACATTGGAATAGGGGAAGACTTCTTAAATAAGACCCCCAAAGCACAGTCGATAATCCCCAAAATAGACAGGTGGGATTACATCAGACTAAGAAGTTTCTGCATGGCAAAAGACACAGTAATTAGTGTGACTCAACAGCCCTCAGAGTGGGAAAATATTTTTATAAAGTATGCATCAGATAAGGGACTGATAACCAGAATTCACAAGGAACTCAAGCAGCTGTTCCGAAAAAAGATGATCAACCCTAGATGGGAGGATGAGTTGAAAAAACCACTCTCTAAAGATGATATACGAATAGCTAAAAGGCATAGGAACAAATGCTTGACATCCCTCATTGTAAGGGAAATGTAAATCAAAAAAACAATGAGTTACCACCTAACCCCAGTCAGAATAACTAAGATTGAAAAAACAAAAAATGATAAGTGCTGGCAGGGGTGTGGTGAAAGAGGAATGCTCTTACACTGCTGGTGGGAATGTAAATTGGTCCAGTCACTATGGAGAACAATTTGGAGGTTCCTCAAAAATCTACCCAAAGGACAGAAGAATATTTAATCAGAAAAGTGCTTGACATTGACGTTTTTTGTGGCACTATTCACAATTGCTAAGTCATGGAAACAACCCAAATGCCCACGAACAGATGAATGGATAGAAAAAACTGTGGCACATATACTCTATGGAATACTATTCAGCCATTAAAAAACAACAAAACCCTGGCTTTTGACAAGAAGTGGATGAATATGGAATATTTACTGCTGAGTGAAGCA